GTCGTCGTCGTCGTCGTCGTCGTCGTCGTCGTCGTCGTCGTCGTCGACGATCTTGGACAGAACGTATATTTTTAAGCGTTTAATGAGCGCGTTTGGCGCGTCGTTGGATCCAACGCCGCTCAAAGCGAAGTCCAGTCTCCGCAAAGGAGAGCTTCCCTCGCACCTTCCTCCTCCCTCCTCCCTTTCTAACGACACCTAACGAGCGCCTAGTACCTAGCAATGAAATATCACCTCTATTACGAAGGATGGCAAATTATTTCTCCGTTTTTAGTCTCTCTACCTAGGTGAATCCAAGTTTTCGACTTTTAGTCAATCTTGGTAATTTTCCTTTTTCTGGGGAAATTAAGTAAGTTGAAATTTAAGAGAGGATACAACGGATTAAGTAAGAAATTAAGTAAGAATCGTGTAAATAATCCTCCGTGGAAGAAAACCGTTTGGCTGGGATTTTAGAAATCTTAGCTCGAAGTTTAAAATAACGGATTTTGCGAATAAAGGATCGTTGGATGGTAAAAGCAATCTCGAACGCGAGCTCGAGTTCGAGGCACCGGTGGTTCCGGCAAACTCAAATTACGAGCGTATAATTTCTCGACGCCGCGCTGGCTTGCGTTCATGTACCCTTTACGAGTTATTATCCCGCTTGCAGTATGGCGGGCCAGATACGCGTGGCAAAGGGAACAAAAGGAATAGGAGGGGGGCTTGTGTGTCGATCGAAAAAATTGCCACGCTTTTTCTTCCATCCTTCCGTTCTATCTCGCGTTTTAACACGTCGGCAACCACTCGAGGTGTGATAATATTCACCTTTAAACTCTAATTTCGCTCTATATACAATGTGTGGACAATTTCTTCCAAAATATCGATCGATCTTTGCTTTTTATTCGGTATCGTAAATTTGAGAAAGATCACGCAATTTCTCTTGGTAAGAAAATTTTTATTAATCGTTTCAATCAAAACGGAATCTCCCGTAATGATATTTTACGACATTAGGGGAAAAATTGATTAAAATATAATTACTTCCGTTGAAACGAGTTCCCGTAACACACACGTCGCTATCAACATCGATCGATCGATCGATCGTCCGTTCGTAACTTAATCGAGACGCGATCCAGCCCACCTAGAGACACTGTCCTTGCTTAGATAGGGATCGACGATGGCTGATGATCGGCCCTAATCGTTTCATCTTAATCGATACAAATTTTCCCCACCGATCATAATAATTTCGTAAAGAAATTATTATACACGCTCGATTGCCTCGATTTCCCGATTCTTTAAAAATATAATAGGGATTATGCGTCCTGCCTAATTCTACGTCTATCCACGCACATTACGCGAAAGTCACGCTATTGGTTCCCAAACACTTCGTATCGCTTTGGTCGAATGATTTCGATCCTCCCTCGAATCTTATTGTAGCTTTGGAATTGTAAGCTTTGTAATTTTATCGTGATACTTGCCCTGACAAACATCATATTAGTAATTACAAAACAACAAAAGAATATATATACTTTAAAATTTTCTTTCCTTATACGTAAAGATACATAAAATATTGAAATATAAAAGTTTTCTACGTTATATTTATGCGTGAAATCATTTTAAGTTAGAAATTCATCGAACGGAAATCGTGTGGAGTTTCGTCCGAAAAAATATTTGGAATGCATTACATTTCCCGTCCCCATTTCACATCCATCCATCCATCCATCCATCTTTTCATATTCGAATGATCGAATACACGTGGAAAATAATTGAACGAGCGATCGAAATAACACTTTCCCTCCTTCTTCTCCTCCTTCTGGCGGAACTGAAAAGGTTCGTTTCCCTGAAACAGCCCATATCGAACTACCCACGTGAAAGCAAACGAGCCGGGATGCGGCTAACACGCCTTCTACAACTCGCCTTATTGTTCCCTGTCAACCGTTCAACACCTCAATGGTAGCTGCGTTTAATCGACATCTTTCTCCTTTCGCGTGATCCCATCCGACCTTTGCGAAATCGTTGTATTCTAACTCTTTGCCGATTTTCTTTTTTTTTTTTTCTTTTACGAGTTGATAATACAACGATTGGAATTATCACATCGAGTATCTTTCTCTGGAAACAGCATATTTTGTTTTTATCGTCAATTTTTTTTTTCAATAAACACCGTCAAAGCAACGATCTTTCTCCAACACATTTTTGATACGGCTGCGAAAAATCGTCTGCAAGAATTAAAAATCCTTCTCTGGAAACGTAGCATATTTTGTTTTTATTTCAATTTTTTTTTTTCAATAAACACCGTCAAAGCAACGATCTTTCTCCAACACATTTTTGATACGGCTGCGAAAAATCGTCTGCAAGAGTTAAAAATCCCTATACCTCTCGTACAGATCTTATTCCCTCCCGTTATCTAGATAAAATAGAGAGGGGGAGAGGGGAGAAAAATCGATCTACATATACGATCCAACTTCCGTCTGCTGGCACGAGAGCAAAAAGGGAAATCGAGAGATATATTCAGGTTTCTTGGGCAAGCGGGGGAGAGAGACCACCTGCGCGTTTCTGCCATTCGAGGATGAATGAAAAACGAGCATCGCACACGTGTGCAAACTGCTCGTACGCGCGGTAATAAAGGGGCAGCGAGCGAAACGGGTGTATTCGAGTCGAACGAAGTTTGCCACTTGTGTATACGGCGCGAGTACGTGGAGGAGAAGGGAGGGAAGACGAGTTTTTCTCTCGAGTTTGCTACTTTTGATTTCGAAGGGGATACGTTATTTATTTATTTTTTTAAAGTGCCCACCGATACTGCACTCCACTCTGACCAGGCAACCCAACCGCACTGGTCGACTTCTCTTATTTGATATTCGCATGTAAACGCGGGTAGAGAATTACGTGAGCGGAAAAGGAAGTATCGATAACAGTTGGAGAGAAATTTACGCATCGCATGCGAAAATGCCTTGGAGCGGAAGATTCGTATCGAGAGATCAATCGAATAATAAATCAATTGAGGCGCATCCTGAGTTCGAGGGATAAGGGTACGAACACGTGAAGAGGAATTTATAATACGTTTGCTCGTAAACGCGTTATAATTTCTGTACGACTTATTTATAGGACAAAAAGAAAAAAGAAAAGAAAAAAGTACAATAGAGAGAATATACAGACGTTCTATTATCCTAATATTATCGTATTTTCCGTTATCCGTTTTGTAGTGACATTTACATGCAACGTACTCAGATTACAATGTAAATACAACGTATTTTAGATGCAACAAACACTTTCCTGCGTTCGGCCGGTTAAACGTATCGATTCGGAGAACGATATATAACGAGTAAACGAAAATTAGTATAATTTCAATTATTGAAGAGAAATACAAGGATAATTAAAGATCTCGAGAATGATGCGACGAAATTCTTAATTTTCGATATAAAAAATTAGCAGCTAAAAAAATATAGGATCGTTGAATGTTGAAAGAAATTTTGTTCGTTTCTATTCAAATAAACGAAGTTTAACGCGAAAGAAAGCAATCGTTTTATTATCCGGCCACTTTTGTCTCCCTGTTAGTTCGGGATTTAGTGTTTACTGTACAATCAGAAGAGCAAGACTCGTCTGCATGAATTTCGTAATTGCCTTCCTCTTTCTCTCTCTCTCTCTTTCTCGAGGCCTGTCTATCGTTATCGGGTAACGAGCTGTCAGCAGAGATAAATTCGCGGGGCATAGAAACAGTCGGTTTGATACCTGGCGCACCTTGAACACGCACGCATCTATTTATACGTGGCTGGTGCACAGGCCTGGTGATGCAGAAATGGCGCACTTTTAACCCAACTCTCGATAAAATTCCATACCTTTTTCCTCGAGCGGCTGGGAGCAGCTGGTGCGCTGGTTTGCCTGGCGGCCCTCCTCATCTTTTTCATCCTCTCTGTTCGATCGAAGAAAAATCGAAGAGTATCGAGGATGGGAACACGTTCGACAGACTTCCTCCTCCGATTCGAAAATTGAGATTCGATTACAAAAAGAAAAAATCCAACGTCTTGCAATTTTGCGACCGAGACGGAATGCTATATCACGAATCTTCCACGAAATTGCGAACTGCACGAGTTTTCAACTTTCTGCCCGATAATATTCGAAAATAATATCGAAATTAATCTCGCTTGGAAAAAAGATTCTCTTTGGATTCTCTTTTTTTTTTTTTTTAAAGAGAGATGGAGCGGAGGATATGGAATAAGGATCGTTGATGTCGAGACAATTAATTCTTCTCGTTCGTACGAAACGAACAGATGTCTCCGACGCGCGTACGCATAAATTAAGCCAAGTCGTGTTTTCCTGGTCGATCGATCGACGAGCACGTATAAGAAACCGAAAAGGCATTCGAAAAAAACGTTTTCACCCGCGATTTAAAGCTGGCTGTCGCCGACGAATCGGTCAAAGGAGAGGAACACAGGAAACGGGGGCTCGGCAGATTTACGCTTTTACCTCGCCGTACCTCGTTTCTGCCTCGGCTCCGACTCGGATGTTTGAGAATGTCGTGAGGAACGAGCGAAATCTCGGGCTCCGTGTAATCTGGAAAAACACGCGCACCTCGTGGGAACAGGGCTATTAAGAGACGCGAGATCTTGCAGGCTTGCCTCGTTTCGATCGACAAGTTGGAGAAGAAATTTTCGTCGATTACGAAAATTTACGAATCGTTTGGTGGCGCGATGGACGAAATTGTACGAATAAACTTGCCAACTCCATCGAATTTATCGTTCGAAATGTAATAATAATCGCAAGTAATTGTAGCTGCCGAGATTGGTACGAAGAATGGATCAATTTAAGTAATTACTCAAAGTAACTTTATTCGAAATTTCTCGATTCTTATATCAACGATTGGACGTCGTATTCTTCGATGGAAGAAAAAGAAAGGAGAATTCCCTTTCTCCCTCTTGAAATCAATTAGCTCAAACGCGGCGAACAAAACGAGTTAACGGCACGAAAGACAGACTAATTAATATTACACGTATCTCGAGGCACACGAGTTTCGATTCCTTCCTTCGATCTACGAGCGGTTTATCAACGCAGTTATCGCATTCCGATTAGAATCCCCGTGGCGTGTGCATAGCTATACAAACACGCGTGTAGGCGAGACAGAAATCTCTCTCTCTCTTGTGACTTCGCGATTTTTCTTCCCCTCGTAACTCACCCTTAGCTCTCGACATCTTCTCGAGGGAAGAGAGGGTTGAAACGAGAACTTTCTTTCTTTCTTCTTCGACGATCTCTGTGACGAGATACGCGCGAGTGGGCGGCTTGGCGTATGGGCGTGCAAAAGGAAATCTCTCCAGAGATCCTCGATCTTCGCGAGATAAAGATATTCCCGCGTGTGTCGAGCAAGGAAGAATTTTAAAAAAAAAAAAACGGGGACTTGGTTGACGAGTTATCTCGAACAGAACGCGCGACAGAAGGCGAAGTCACGAACACCGAGTCGAGAGGATAAAGAGGAAGAAGAGAGAAAAAGACGCGCGGAAAGAAAGAAAATAATCGTTCGATCCCGGAAATCATTCAACCGAGGAAATTCGAATCGAAAGGATTTCGAGGATGCATGGATCCGATTAGAGGCAACGCACCTTCCGTTTCCGAGCAACGTTGAAGTAATGGATCGGAGGCTCGTTCGCCGATGTCCATGCATCACGTTAATGCCGTCGTTACGGTGGCTCGTAGATCATGTCGATCCCCCTACGCCGCGATCGATTCGATAAGGGATCGAAACCGTGCTTTCTGCGCTCACTGGGAAATTCTAAACATCGTTCCATCCATCGGATCGGATTTCTTTTCTTCTCTATCTCTCTTTCGACAATTTGATTTGACCGAGAATTTTCGACGATGATTAAAGAGGAAACGTTTGCAACGACGAAGTTTCGATGCGCCACGTGTCGACACCGTTTATCTTAATGTTTTAATGCTTGGAACGTTATTGGCATTACGGTTTATTTGATCTCCGCTTCCATCGGTGGATCTGTTTTTCTTTAATCCGAGACAGGTTTAGGTTTAACTTGATTTAGATTCTTAGACCTGTCTTCCAAATGATCGCTGAAAACAAATTTTTAACCGGAGAGAGAGAGAGAGAGAGAGAGAGATTGAAGGCGTCTGGCGTCCGACTCGAAATAGACGATTTCACTGTTGTCTGTGTTTCTTCTTTTTTTTCCATGGCCGGTCTAAGTAGAAATAGAAGAGATAAGATCGAACGTGCCGATACATTGCGGACGTTAATTTTTTTTTCTTTTTCTTTCTTTCACCGGCACTGGCAAAAATTGATGCTCGTAAATGTATTAAAACAAATTTTTCGAGTGGTTACGAGTACCCTCTTGGCATCTGGCGTTTCGCTTCGAACAAAACTTGTACTGTTTGAATTCGACGTATGCGATAATACACGTAAAGCACGAGTTGCGCGGCCTATCATTATCGGCGAAACGTTTCAAAACGTTGTTCGATCCGATGTAATTCGAGAAATATTTATCCGCGACGAGGCCTGTATGCACGTACGCGAAATTTACTTCAAATCGAATCGATTAACGAAAATTGCGCGAAGGGGGAAAAATATTTCGTATATATTTTATTCCCAATATTTCCCAATATTTATCACACCCATGTCTCGGCCTAGATACGTTCCTAGAAAAGTTGGCCGTAAACCGGATAACGAATCGATTATTTTTATACAAATCCAATTGGATCTGTTCCAATTTTTTCATAAAATAATATGGCGTTTCGCTTCGAACAAAACTTGTACTGTTTGAATTCGACGTATGCGATAATACACGTAAAGCACGAGTTGCGCGGCCTATCATTATCGGCGAAACGTTTCAAAACGTTGTTCGATCCGATGTAATTCGAGAAATATTTATCCGCGACGAGGCCTGTATGCACGTACGCGAAATTTACTTCAAATCGAATCGATTAACGAAAATTGCGCGAAGGGGGAAAAATATTTCGTATATATTTTATTCCCAATATTTCCCAATATTTATCACACCCATGTCTCGGTCTAGATACGTTCCTAGAAAAGTTGGCCGTAAACCGGATAACGAATCGATTATTTTTATACAAATCCAATTGGATCTGTTCCAATTTTTTCATAAAATAATATAACGAAATTTGATACAAACCCCTATACAAATTGGATCTGTTCCAATTTTTCCATAAAATAACGAAATTTGATACAAACCCCTATACAAATTGGATCTGTTCCAATTTTTCCATAAAATAACGAAATTTGATACAAACCCCTATACAAATTGGATCTGTTCCAATTTTTCCATAAAATAACGAAATTTGATACAAACTCCCATACAAATTGGATCTGTTCCAATTTTTCCATAAAATAATATAACGAAATTTGATACACATACAAATTGGATCTGTTCTAATTTTTCCATAAAATAATATAGTTTTTAGTTCATTTTTTTTAACGAAATTTGATACAAATTCCCATATATAAAATAATATAATTTTTAGTTCGCAAAGCATTTCTTTTCGGCCGTGTAACGAAGCATTGTATGATTCCGTGAATCGAAAAAATTGGCATAATTAAAAAAGGGCGGATGTACTCGTTACACGCTGGTTTGTCTTCACCCAACAAGATGTCGATCGATTGAGTTCGAAAGAGTTCCCGCGGAATTTGCATATTTTCCGATTGCGATCGAAAGGTCGAGGAGAGCACGAGACGAGGACGATGATGCGGAGAAAGCGGCCTCGTGGATACGATCGAGGCAAGAGCGATTGATTGGCGGAGAGGAATGGGAGTACACACAGTTAAAATTGCCGTGGAATTATTTTCCAGTTAACCGTGGCCACGTTTCACGACTCGATACATCCAAAGAGGCCGCGGCTCGTTATCAACCGTGTTTCTCGCGTTTCAGGCCATTCTGCACGCCTACTTTTTCCCGCCACTTTACAACTGGCACGTCTGTTCTTCCGTGAAGAACAATTATTCCAGGATACGTGTATCGTGCCGGCTCTCTTGCCTCTTACGGAATCGTAAAGCGGCATCGAGATTGGTTATTGGAGACATTGTGAAGAGGGCTTTAAAAGGGTTTAAGCGGAGGAGGGAGGGGGGAAAGGGGATTGGGCTCGATTGGCAAGCGACTCGTTCGAAGCTTGAAATTGTTAATGTTTAATCGATGAATTTTTTTTCATCGAGAAGTTTGGAAAACGTTTTCGTATCTAGAAAGTATCAAAGAGAGGAAATACTTGAAATTTGGATTGATAAATAAACACGGTTAAATAAGCTTTGGAAGTTTTTGAGAGGTGTATATATAGGATGAAGTTTGTTTAAAGATCTTATCGATCGATTAATTTCGACTGAATTAATTTAAGAAAGAGAGAGAGAGAAAAGACGATAATACGGAAAAGTATGAGACGATATCTCGGAAACTGTTCGTTAAATATAAGGTTAGGAATAAAAGTAAAAATAACGATGAATGTATCGGTAAAAAAAAACACGGATTCGTTCGCCGTGTCCAGAATAATCGATAGCCTTTTTCGTTTCGAAATATATAAGATTCACGCTTTTTACGTAGTTTCGTTGCATCGATTGCTTTAATAGCCGATTTAATAGCAATTTCATCAACCGTGCCGATGATTATACGCGTTTCTCGCGCGAATTGCTTTCATCTGCGAGCTGTATCCACACGAACCAACGATAATAAATTCTCGATCGAGATTACAGATATCACGTATTTTTACAATACGAAAATTTGCCGCTTCGCGTTGCGTGAAAAAAAAAAAAATTAAAAATCGATTTCCAAAGAGTATCCTTTACGATTAAAATAATCAATTCAAAAATAAATTTCAATCTCATTTTTCTCGAACAAATAACCGCGCACAAAAATATCCAAATACGCGAGAATTAATTTTAATTTCAAGCCAAATTTAATTAGTCAATGGTAAAGATTTCAAAAGATTAAGGACTCGATCGAAATTGATTTAAAGAACGTTCAAATTGTCCATATTACGCGCGACTTTAAGTATCCATTGCGCAAAGAGTTTTACTATCTTCGGCGTCGATTAATTTTTACCATCCCGATCTCGAGGATATATTGCGACATCGGTACGTGATTCGCCTCGGTTCATAACTCGCCGCATTCTCGCGTCCATTAAAAGCGAAATTCTTTCCGATCGATCGATCATGGATCAAATCTGTGTCCATTTTTATCGTTACGCGAACATTTATATCTCCGCAGGAGACGGGATCAGTGTTGATCGTTACGCGATCTTCTCAAACAAGACATTAATCCCGTGTTCTTAATTTCTTCTAGATACTAAGAAGATCTGTCAAATAATTTCGTATATTTTCCGTATATTTTTTTCTTTCGATCGTTATGATAATCTTTATCATTTCTAGATCGACATTGACAAAAATCGATCAAACCGTTTCGAATGAAGCCGTTCCAATCGCCAATCCTGTCCTCTCGAATCGAACGAGAGCCGAGAAACCTTCGTCTAATTACCCCTTAATTACTACTCCGATTCTCAATTACCAACGCGATTAAACGTCGGCTAAAAATCGAATAACACCTCGATAGATGTAAATTCCCGTACGCTTATCTTTATTACAAAGTATAATACCATCGATTTCCGCCCTGTTAATGCGAGGAATTCGAAACTGAAAATGGCGCCAAGGCCTGTTCGCGCCTGTCTCGACACTTCTTCGATTCCTTTAATGACGTTCGCCATGGATCGATGCAATAACGAGCGGCAATTTATCGACTAATAAATCGACGACTAATCGTCGTCCTTTTCTATCTTCCTCCCTACGTTTCCTCATCGAAATCCTCCATTTAACCGTGGAATTTTCTCGTTTGCTCAACAATCGTGGGTACCAGCGGTCCAAGAATTTTAATTGTCCACGAAGCGGTCGTCGAATTTTAAATCGATAGATGGATTGGAAATCGTCATCTTTTTCCACCTTCCTTCGCATTGACATCGAAATCCTCGATTTCATCGCGCAATTCCCTGTTAACTTAACAATGGTTCAAGAATTTTAATTATTTACGAAATCGTATTTTAAATCGATAGATTTGAAAGTCAATGTCAATTGAGTGACGAAAATATTCTTTCATCATCCGTACGAACCAGCGATCCAAGAATTTTAATTATTTATTACGAAGCTATCGAATTTTAGATCGATAAGTTGCCTCTCTCATTTTCTGTATATTTTCAAAGAAATTGATCACCAAGCGATCCAAGAATTTTAATTATTCATCGAGCTATCGAGTTTTAGACTAATGAATGAGATTCAGATGGATCTATCTTAAAGCCAGAGCTCAGGTATCGAAGATATATATATTTTTTTTAAAAGTCCTAGAAGAATATAGCAACATAGAATCCTAAATTCTTAGACTCGCCGATTCATCGAATAAATACTCGGTCGATAAATCAGACTTCACCCGAAAGCCTCGAAATTGATCACGGTTGATCGATGAACTTATCGACCGACCAACACCGCCTGTTGATTCAAGATTGCGGACGATTCCAACGCACGTTTCCACGCATCCTTCGCCAATTCAAATCAAAATCGCAATTCCGGCCGACGATTCGTCGAACGTATCGAATGAAATGTGAACCGATACGACTTTCGCCTCCACGCGTATCATCCCCTTCCCCATCTCTCCCCATCTATCCATCCATCCATCCATCCATCCATCGTCAATGGGCTTCGTTAAAGGAGTGGACGCGCAAAGTGATTCCCGATTGAACCGTTCACCCGATATAAAGGGAGCCAGACAGTTTGCTTATCGGCTTTTAAAGGATGATCGATATTTAAGCCGCGATTTAAGACGGCGTCGCATCGACCTTCGCTCGATCTTTCAGCTTTGTAACGAGAACGATTATTTATTTATCCGCGACAAGCGCATTGGCTGAATGAACGGGATTAGAGGGGATCGTTATTTATGCTTTAGCCACGGTCCGGAGCCAAGCACGTTCTGGCTGCTTGAATTAATCACTCGTCGGCTAGATGCTCAACCTAGCAACCAATCCTTCCTTTTTTCCTAATTCTTTTTTTTCTTGGATTTGAAATTGATCGATCGGCAAATGTGAGAATGGAATCGTTACTCGTAATCGGTCGAGGGGCACGATATATGTATTACGATGGCTTAGGATAATAATTACGCGATGTTTAAAATATACGATCCTCTAATTCGTGTTCACAGTGGAGTTGATCATTCCAAATCGTGCTTATAACGCTCGAACGATAAATAAAACTTTCTAATCGAGAAGTTATTCAAATTGAATTGCCTCGTAAGGGAAGATGGTAGCTAATAATTTAACTACAGCCGATAGAATAGAACGCGATGCGATTACTTATAATTAATCTCTCTCGTCTTACGTAGATCCGTTTAACCTCGAACAACGAGTGAGATTCGTAAGAAATTTGGGCCAAAAATTGTAAGCGCGAAAAGTAGGAACAGTTGATCATTGCAAATCTGTGCTTAACTTATAACGCTCGAATGATAAATAAAACTTTCTTACTCGAGAAGTTATTCAAATTGAATTGCCACGTAATAATTTAACTACAGTCGATAGAATAGAACGCGATTACCTATAATTAACCCCTTCCCGTACAAATCAGCTCGACGAAATCCAGGCTCAAGCGGCACTTTGCAACGTGAATTATAAGAATCGTGATTTTCTCGTGGCGTAAGAATTAAATCTCGATTGAAAAAATTCAATTACACTCGTGTTTGGGCCGAAATCTTCATCATGAGTCAGACTTGTGATAATACGGGGTTAATCTACTCATCGTATGTAGACAAGATCCGTTTAACCTACTTGTTCTCCAACAACTGAGTGAGACTATTATTAGTTTAGGTGAAACGTAAACGACACGAGCCTGGCCCGACCGAACTTCTCTGTTTATTGCGGCCCGAGAAATCGGGAGGGCAAAATCGGTTAAGGAAATTTTTGCGTTATTTTTAAATTATTTTTAAACGTAGACAAGAGCAGGAAATTACCGAACGATTTATTCCATCACAATTACACGTATTATTCGAACACCGGTTGGCCAAATTGAATTCAAATGTAGCGAGAGTACTGTTCACGATTTACTGCCGTGTCGTAAAAAATTCGAGCGATCTTTCCTTCCTTCTCTTTCGCCTTGCTGTGAAAGCGAGCAAGCCTTTGTTCGAATACAATACGATATTCGCATGGACGGGATCGCTAATTGCGAAATGCGATCGATCGCGCATCGGCAAACGCCTAGTCATGCATGAACAGGATTCCAGTTGCTGATAGATGCCGATCACGATACACCCAGGATAGATTTATACATTCCAACGACAAACGAACGGGGAGGAGGAGAGATATTTGCCCGGCGTGATCTCATCGGCCGAGAATGAAAATACGCGGAACATTATCATCGACGCGTTCGTTTTCGATATTGCCATATTTTCGAGCCACGTTCCCCCTTACAGAGACACGAATGACTGGGTTTCTATGTATAAACGAATTAATATTTTCAGGATGCCGATGTAATCCCGTTGGCTCGATAAGTTCTACCTGCGACATCGTGACGGGGCAATGCCAGTGCAAGCCTCACGTGGCTGGCAGGCAATGCGATCAATGCACGGTGAGTGGATCTCGCATTTTACGTTCAGTGTCATCACCTTTTGCACTCGTATTTATATTTAATCCTTCGGCTGCATCAAAAATGTGCACGGTGCTCGAGAAAAGATCGTCGCGTTTACGCCTCACGATTCGAGTTGCTTCGACGATGTTTATTGAAAAGAAAACATCGAGGAAAAGATACTCGATGCACGGTAACTCCAATCTTATGCAGAGCGACTATAGTAGCGAAAGGGTTAAGAAGATTACCAATCAAGAATGTAATTGTATTATACATATAGAATGTAAAACGTAGGATGATGGAAAATTCTTCCCCTCTTTCTCGATCTCTCATTTTAACCCTTTCGCTACGGGCCACTTTTCCACCGCACCAAAGCTCGAGAAAAGATCGTCATCGGCCGCTCACAATAAATCGATGATAAAAAGAAAATGTCGATGCTACGTTTCCAGAAAAAGATACTCAAATTTTATTCAGAGACTATAATCGCCCGTAGTAGCGAAAGAGTTAAAGAAGATTTCCAATCAAGTAACAACAAGAGCCCCTAGAATGTAATTCTATTATATACATATAAAATGTAAAACATAGGATGGCGATATACGAGTGCAAGGGGGTTAAAATTCTTCCCTTCTTTCTCGATCTCTCATTTTAACCCTTTCGCTACGAGCCGCTTCGCCGCCGCATCAAAGCTCGAGAAAAGTTCGTCACCGGCCGATCACAATTCGACGGTGTTTATTGAAAAAAAAAAATCGACGATAAAAAGAAAATATCGACGCTACGTTTCCAGAGAAAGATACGCGATAACTCAAATCTTATTCAGAGACTATAATCGCCTGTAGTAGCGAAAGAGTTAAAGAAGATTAGCAATCAAGTAACAAGAGCCCCTAGAATTCTATTATACATATAAAATACATGTAAAATAATATAGATATACGAGTGCAAAGGGTTAAAATTCTTCCCCCTCTTTCTCTCACTTTAAATCTGGTTCCGTCTGTTGGAAAAGGTCGGGTTCTGGGGCTTGCCAACGGGAGCGGGATGCGCCCCTTGCGGATGCGATCCCATCGGAGCGCACAACTCTTCCTGTCACGACTCTCTGGGCCAATGTTACTGCAAGCAAGGTGTAGGAGGGACGCGTTGCGACACGTGTCTACCCGGATATTACGGATTTTCCTCGAACGGGTGTCAAGGTGAATGATCGCGATGAAAACAAGAAGAAGAAGAAGAACTACATTGATCCGTCTAATTATTTTCCAGTGTGCGATCCGTGCATACGGCCGGGCCACATCTGCGACCCCGACACAGGTCGGTGCGTGTGCCCAACCCTGACCTTCGGCGAGCACTGCGACAGATGCAGACCCGGCTCCTGGGATTTGGTGGCGGGGATTGGGTGCAGGCCGTGCGCGTGCACCCTCGGCTCGACGAAACCCCACTGCGACCACCGGGGACAATGCCCCTGCAGGATAGGCTACGCCGGGCTTAGGTGCGAGAGATGCGCCAAAGGTTACTACGGTTATCCCAGGTGTCGGCCTTGCGGTTGCAACGTGGCCGGCACCACGCGCTGCGATCACGAAACTTGCGATTGCGACGACGAGGGACAGTGCCCTTGCAAGGTACATCCATTTTGAAACAAAGAGATGATCGATTGATTGAGAGGCGTGTGATTGGAGGAGTTGATAAAATTTTTTCTTCTTCTTCTTCTTCTTGGTTAGGAATACGCGGTTGGAAGGCAGTGCGATCGGTGCAAGGAAGGCACGTTCGGTTTGGCGTTCGACAATCCGAAAGGTTGCACCGAGTGCTTCTGTTTCGGGAGAACAACTTCTTGCCAGCAAGCCGGCCTTAGTTGGGGGCAGAGGAGATTGGCGCGTCCGCGAACCCTCTACGTCAATGATACCATCAACGAAATAGCGGTAAGAATTCTTCGAACGGAACGAATCGTTGAAAAAAAGTGAGAAATCTTAAGAATCGGTTTTTGAAAATACGTCAAAAGGAAGGGATTAAATGAGGGGGGAGGGGGTCGTTGCAGGTGAGCAAATTTAGGTCGCAAGTTTTTTTATCTCCCGTTAACGGCGGTTTGAACATGACCAACGGACTTTCGACGATTCCCGACACCGAGGGTGATGTCACGATACCGGCACACTTGTATTACAATTATCCCCTCTACTGGATGCTGCCCGAGTCTTTTCTCGGCGATAAGGTTTCCTTCCTTTTCTTTCTTCTTTTTCCACGAGAAATGTAACGAAAAAATGAAATTTCATTCGCGGTTTCGTAATTCGAAGGTGGTTTCTTACGGAGGATTTTTAAGATTCACTAGTTCGACGGAGGGTGGAATACCTTTGAGATCGACTTTTCAATATCCAATAGTGCAACTGCAAGGAAACGATAAAATTGTCCTGGAATATTATTTACCCGTGCCTGCCAACGATAATCATTACGAAGTCAGGTAATTATTAAAATCCGACTCAAATATATATATATAATATATAAGCTCATTTTTTTTTTTTTTTTTTAGATTTCACGAGTCGTTGTGGCAGTTGCAAAACAGGCCCGACTACAAAGTGACGAGGGAGGTTTTGATGGTTGCGTTGCAAAATTTACAATACATTCTGGTAAAAGCTTCCGACAATGCTGAATTTACGAAAGCAACGTGCGTCAACTTTCCATTCCCCGCTCTCTCCCCATAAAATGTACGCGTTTCGCGTTCTAACCTCGTTGCCGCGTTCCGTTTCAGTCTACTCGAAGCTTCCATGGACGCCGCAGTTTTAACACCTACCCACACCCCACAACTCGCGACCGGTGTCGAGATTTGCAAGTGTCCCCCAGAATACAACAGCACATCCTGTCAGGATCCGAGTATCGGTTATTATCGATGGTATAAAAATACGACGGTTACATCGACCATCGTGATCGATCTCGTTGGAGAAGCGAAAGCATGCCAGTGTAACGGAAGATCTAATATTTGCAACATAGAAACGGGATATTGCTCGGTAAAGCAACTTTCAACTCTATTCTTCTCAAACATAACCAACTAACGCGTAGATATCAGCATACGAATCGTTATAAATTGTTGTCCAAGATGGAACAACTGTGTGTTATCGTGATTTAACCTTTCTTTTTTTCAATTTAATGTTGAATCGAAAACAAAAAAAAATGTGCGTATATACAAACCTGTGGAATAAGAAAAGGAAACACACGTTTGTCTAGAATCGTTCAGAAAATAACTAACTAACACGTAGTCGTATAAATCGTTATAAATTGTTATCCAAGATAGAACAACTGTGTATTATAATGATTTAAGCGAACAAAGGAAATAAACCGTGTATGGTTAGACGTTAATTTATTTTTCCAAACGATTTCGAATTGAAAGCAAAAAAGAATGTGCGTATATGAAACCTCTGAAAATAAAAAAAAAAAACACACGTTTCCAGAATTGTCGAGGAAATACCGCGGGACCAAGATGCGATATTTGCGCGGACAGTTTCTACGGGCATGCCGACTTTGGTTGTAAACCGTGTCCCTGCCCTCAAGTAGACAAGAGATTTTCAAGCACTTGCACCATTCTCGCCAACACGGAACCGATCTGCATTTGCAAACCTGGTTCGTAATCTTTCGCCTTCTAACCTAACCGATAAATATATCCATTTAGATGACTTTTTTGTACTTTTTTATTATTTATCCTTCTTTGCAAGGTTATACCGGTAGGAAATGCGAACGATGCTCTCCCGGATATTACGGATTCCCTCATCTTCCCGCTGGAAAATGTACGCCGTGCGAATGCAACCCCGCTGGAAGTTTGAACGATGAATGCGACACGGAAACGGGGCAATGCAGGTGCAGAGCTGGCTCTACGGGCCGCGACTGCTCCGAATGTACAGCGTTTCGCCACGTTTTTATAAATAACGTTTGCACGTGTAAGAAGGAATTTTTATCACTACATATCTTTGAATTATTCCCAAAATCAAGCTTTTCTTCTTCTCTCTTTTTCATTCATTTAATTAATTTGATTATTTTTTTTCTTTTTGGCCCAGCGTGCAACGATAATTGCACCGGTATACTGCTCGACAATTTGGCTGCGCTTTCGCAAGAATTAGCGGAAGGTACCGTGCACATAGCAGACGGATACGTTCCCCCTCCGTGGCAGGAATTATCGTATATCGATTCGAACACGACCGAGTATTTGGAGGAGATGAATCGGCAGAATAAATTGAGGCAAAGGGTGAAAAATATTCCGTGGAACAAGTACAGAGAGTTGTTGAAAGAAGTCGAAGTGTTGCTCAGAGCTGTGCGTGTTGCGATATTGGGTTTTTACTACTTATAAAGAAAATGTTAAAAAAATATTTCATTTTTCAGGCTAATGAACAAGTCAAACGTTCGGATATTGCAAATTCAAAAAGCAATGATCTAAAGAACAACATATTTAGCGCAAACATCGAAATGGACAATCTGAAGAAATACATAGAAGGTGATCGTCTTGGAAAGAATAAGACGCGTTTTATATTTTATATTTCTGTGATGTTAATTTTTTTTATTTCTTAATTTTCTTTAATTCTTCTAGATACAATTTTACTGTTGAATCAATACAGCAACGAAAACAAAAGGATAGAATTGAAGAAGGCGTTAAAAACGGCGAAAATGATTTTGAACGGCATGAAGGAAGCGAACTTGACGAGGAAACGGATGGAAATAGAAGGTTTTCTCGAGTTAGTAGAGATTCGTATTAATCACTTCACGAATTAACATTGTCCATCGTATCAATCGTTATCTATCTATCATTTGTCGATAATCGTTTTCCATATATTTCGTTTTGGAAATTAACAGCGATGCCCAAGAGAACATCGATTGGTTAAATTCCCTGTACGATGCAACGGAACCGCTCGCAATCGCTCAAGACGACGTCGAGGAATACTCGATCAAGTTAAACGACATGAGAAGCATCATAGAAGAGACGATGGAAACGTTGTTCACGTACGATGGATTGTACAACGATATTAATCAAACGTTTTTAGAGGCTAAGAATTATTGCGACGAGATCACAGTGTTGCACAACAATATCAACGCGTCCATCATCGAGGGGGAAAAGTTGACGAACGAGACGCGTGGTTTCATCCTCGATTTCCAAAATAACGTTCAAGTACGTGTCGATGGAACGGAATTTGAATCGATATCGACTATTTTTGCCTATCGTTTCTCCTTTTCCCTTTCTATCCATCATTTATCCGCTCGTTATATAAAATTTTTATTCAATTTCGCACACCTCATAGATACGTAAAAAAGAAACAGAAAAAGAAAACGCGTTATCTCGATTATTAATATTAATTACAAGTAAAAATAATTATATCGCCTGGCTGTCGAGGAATACCTGAAAGAAGAAATGTATTAAATTACAGGATCTTCCAGAACTACGAAACAAATTAGCATACTGGTTTGATAAATTGGGTATGAAGGAGGAACTGCTGTACAGATTAAATTACGAATATAACGACACATACGTGATACCCGCGATTGCACACGTGAAGAATTTATCAAGCTACGTTGATCAGTACGTCAGGTAAGGGGATATTATTTATTATTTTTATCTTTCGTACTTTTACCTCCTACCTACTTTATCGCAATATTAATTAATATTTAGATAGTCAAGCGACCGCTACCTATCGTTGTCATCGAGAAAAAAAATGTATTAATAAATATAATAATTCTTTTTCTAATCGTGAAAAAGTATCGCACGTTCTTGCTGAGATTTGCTTGACCGTTTAAAAGTGATATTAAAAAATATATATATATATCTTTCGCAAAATGGTCCTGTAATTTTCAACGCAGTTCCAGTTGCGAATTAACCTCTTGTTCTACAACAACGAGGGTGGCTCGTGGGTATTTCGTTCAGATCAAATGTAAACGACACGAGCCTGGCCCGAATTTTTCTGTTTATTCTGGAAATCGAGAGTCAGTGGGTAGGACAAGAGGTTAACAATCGTTATTTAGTATGTACGCTATTAATTTACGTAATTGACGATCGATAACTTGATAAAGTGCAACTTGGCGTTTCTGCCGAGCAGTCTGTTTTCCGAGACAAGAAACATCGCAGCTAGCCCGCTCAAGGCCAGCCAAGCGTACAAGAATATCGTCGATAACATAAGAACTGCGAATATCACAGCGATGGAAGGTAAAGAGATTGCGAACGATGCGTACAACAAGGTAAGGAATTAAACAATTATCGATTTCATTCTTCGAACAACTGTCGATTCGATCATCTCATCTTTTATACGATTTCAGACGTTTCCCAACGGGCCGAATTCAAAGTCGTTGTTGGACGTTGCTAAAGAGGTGTCGCGAGCATCGTCCAAGCAATTGGATCGCGCGAAACAGCACGGGGAATTGGTGAAAAAGGCGAGTGTTGAATTGGAATTGCAAAAGGAAGCTGTGACCCTTTTGAAAAATACTTTGAACAACACCGGAATCAGAGACAATCAGGTTAATCTAAAATTGCAAAAGTTGAAAGATGATAGTAAGAAATGTGAGTGTCCGCGTTTGTCCGAGAAAAATTTTCATTCTACATTTTCTAACAATTCTCTCTTCTTAAATTTCCGAGTTTTTAATTAAAAATTTCCTGTGTTTTATTCAGTACGAGAAGACATAGAGAATACATTAAGAGACAACGAAGTAGTACTAGAAAACGTGGAAACATCGCGAAAACTTATCGAGGATTACGAGGAAGGAATTGCCGATAGATTGAAACCAAAACTGAACGAATTGAAAAGGGAAGGTGATTCTAAGATTAGTTTAGCTAGCGAAAAACGTAAGAATCGTCATTACGTTACATTATGTATATTTCTTTATTCTTAATCGATGTACTTTAAAAAAGAAAAAAAATTATTTCAGTGACGGAAGCGCTTAGTAACACGAAAAAAGCAGACGCGAGATTAATAAGCTTTTCGAATGCTGCCGCGAAAAGGAAGAATGTATTCGACAAATGGAACGATACATTGGCCACGAAATTGCAGAATCTCAAGGATAAAATTGCCGAAGCTAGAAATACCGCTGACGGAGTAATTAACATTATCTTATTTCTTAAATATTAATCAAGTAAAATATATATATATATAGAATAAATATTCGAATAAAAAATATTCCTTAGATTCGCGTTTCTTTGAAATCAGCCGAAGGAAAAGAATGTAGCCGTTCCTACAGGCCATCTACATTGCAGCCAACATCCACGAATACAATCGTGATGACGTTCGCGCTTCCGAAAGGGAAGAAAGAAGGCTCTCTGTTTTATTTGCCAAGCAGCATAAATGTAAGCATTTCGAAATTGAATTGATATTTCAAAACGACAAAATATTTTGATACGTTTGTGTTAATGTGACTTACAGGATGACTTCATTGCTCTCGAGCTGGTTGACAGAAAGGTGAGATTCGTATGGAACGTTGGAGGAGGTACGGGGATTCTTACGCATCCTGAGACGATACACAGTAGTGATATCGAGGACGACAGGTTCTGGTACCGCATCGAGGCTGAAAGGTAAAGTAATGTGCATGTAAATAATAAATTGTATTGCGTGTAATAACAAATTTCTTTTAAATTGATATGATTTTCAGGGTACGACACATAGGTAAATTATATGTACGAAAGCAAGCATCCCCAGCTAGAGGACATCCTGTGGTAAAGAATTCCACGAACTCTGAGTACGGTCGTTTCGAAATTACCATGTCGGATCGTGTCTGGATAGGAAAAATTCCCAGACCAGAGCGAAGAAGGACCGAGCTTATCGCGTCTAGTGGACTTCCAGGATGTATACATCAAGTGATTTTAGACGGGAAACCTATAGGTCTTTGGAACTTTGTTACAACCGCGCCAGATATGGCTTGCGAGGCGTGTGTGGAAGGGTAAATTGAGAAAACATTGCAAATTTTCTATCATTGGGGATCATGTGATTTTATTCCCTTTATTTTCTACTTCAATGTTGTAGAGTGGAAGATGTGAGCGACGACACAGTTTACAGTTTTAATGGAGAAGGATATGCGGTCAGAAACAGAGTTTCTTCAGGACCGTACAATCCATACCGGTTTGTAATATCGATAAACTTCAGGACTTACGACGAGAATGCCTTGCTATTTCTGGCTATCAATCCGGATAACGTATGTAACATTCAAATAATTTCTTCTAAAAAGATTCTTATCTATATATTCTATCTATAATTAGATCTTATTTTTCATTCGATATTATAGAATCAACATGTCATGATATTCCTGCGAGAAGGGAAAGTAATTCTGCAGATTGGTTACGGTGGTAACGTCAGCATGGAAATGTCCTCAAACTTTAAATACAATACTGGAAACTGGACAAAGGTGGATGCGTCCAGATACTATCAATTGCATAAAAACATTGAAAAGTGTAGCTTAAGCGTAGGAGAAAACGATAAGAGAATCGGGGCACCCACACCTCAGCCCAAAAAGGAAGATATCCCCAATTTTCTTCAAGCTAAATATTACATCGGTGGTGTCCCACCGAGTTTTCGCGCGGATAAATTAATGTTACCCTCCCAAGTTTCTTTCCTTGGCTGTATGTCTAATATCATAATCGAGGTCGGCTATGATCCAATGGCGGAACAGTATTATGGCGTTGAGCCTATTTGCACGAATAAGGTAAGCATAAGTTTTATTTTGGAGTTTTATTTTGAAAAAAAGAAAAAAAAATCGAAGAAGAAACGATGTTAATAAATTTTACAGCCATTAAGGTTAATAGGATTTTACGGAGATGGTTATTTGCAACATACAGCATACACGTTACGTAAAATAAATTCTACGGTGAGTTTCTCGTTCAGAACGATGCAAGAGAAGGCCGTGCTCCTTCTTTCCACGTTTGAAGGACAAGAAGAACGTATGCCTCTTATACGGCACATGAACGACGAATCAAACGTAAGATGAATCAAACAAATCTGAAAATTTGTCGGACGAGCAAATCCAATTTATGTTTTAATTTCAGAAAAAGAGTTATTATTCCGTGTGCATAATCAATGGACAAGTTCAAGTGCGCTTGAACGCTGGAAAAGGAGAGCTCGTTTTAAAATCGAATGACACTTTCAACGATGGAAGATATCACTCGGTAACAATAATTAAAAGGCGGAAAGATGTTGAGTTGCGAATAGATGATGCTTATCAAACAGCGGGTAAACTACCAACTAGTGCCGCTATTAAAGCTCCTGAAGAGAGTGGAGGATTATTCTTCGGAGGTTTACCTGTCCTTATCAACAATACCGAGATGATTTCCACCACCACTCCATTGTATGGTGCTATTAAAGACGCGATATTTAACGACGAGTAAGTTAAATATACAATTCAAGTTTCATGATGGTAGTTTATGATTTTAAAAGAAGAAAGAAAGAATAAGAATATGAATAATTCTTTTTCTTTATAGTATTATTCGATTCGATGAAGTTATCAGTTTCGAGCATGCATTGATCGGTCGTTCTGGACCAAGTATGGGAAAAGATCCTCCTACTTACACACCTTCGGCTTCGTTATCAAGAGGAATGTCGACACAACCGGAAGGATGTCAGAAAGTACCGTATTATTCTCTGGAAGCTGGTGCTTTAAAGTTTGGCGACAAACCAAACAGCCATACTCAAATTTATTTAAACTTTAAAAAATTTTGGGAGAAGAAATACGCCATAGAATTTGATTTCAGAACATATTATCCAAATGGTCTTCTGTTCATTACTCCAGTACGTAAAACTTCTTTAAAATATTGATTAAAATTTCGAAAATGAAAAACGAGATTCCGATATCTCTATTTGATATGATATATAATATTTCAGATTAAAATTGATATTTCAGAATAAATTATTTCATTTTTCAGGGTCTTAGACCAAAGCACTATCTCATGGTCGTGATACGGGATGGACAACTTTTACTTTTAGTGAAGAGCAAACAAAAGAAAGAGATATTGTTTAAAATGCCGTTTAATGATGGTAACTGGCATCACGTAGTGATCAGTCACGATGAAAGAAAATTGACGTTGCTCGTGGATTCTCTAACACCGCACACTATTAAAGTACCAAGAAAGATTGGACTGGCTTCTATGATGTATATCGGAGGTCTACCTGAAAGTGGCACACCGATTCCTGAACAAGTTGTGGTTAAACTTGAAACCCTAAAAGGCTGCATCAGAGGATTGAGGATCAATAGAAACGTGTTTGATATGGTTGGTTCCACGAGTAGGGCTTATCAAGTTGGACAATGCTTCCCAAATGTGGAAAGTGGAGCTTATTTCCAAGATGAAGCATATGCCATATACAGTAAGATATAATTCGGACTTTGATTATAAATATTATCAAAAAATAATTATAACAGAAAAAATGAGATCGAAAAGCTTAATTAAATTGAATTCCTTCTTTTTTTTTTACAGAGAGAAACTTTGAATTAGGTGCAGTGCTTGAACTTCAATTGGAATTTAGAACATCGGAATTGTCAGGGGTTTTGCTTTCCATAACGGCACCCGGCAATTCGCCTTCATTGTCATTGGAACTAAATAATGGCAAAGTAATCATGTCGGGTGATTTGGGAGATAACAATCCATTATATGCTGAGCAACGTTTTACTAGTCCATACACGATCTGTGACAATCGATGGCACAGAATACAAGCGGTTTATAATGATGAGGAATTGGCATTAAAGGTTGACGAGATGGATCAGAAGTATGGTCTTCCACCTAACGTCAATTATCATATGATGGATTCTACAATCTCTGGACCTCTCTACATTGGTGGTTTGCCAGGTAAAATTTTATTCATCTTATCAATTCATAATTTACTATCAAAAATTGTGATATATATATCAATTCAATTAATGCTAAATATATAATTTACTTATTATTATAAAACAATTTTTATTACAATTTTTTATAATAAATTATGAATTGATAAGACGAATTAGATGAATAAGATGAATATTATAAAGATTTTATATATACTAAAATATGAAAAAACATATACTATCTTTATAAATTGAATGATAATTTTACAGCCTCTGCACCAAAAGGAACATTAATGACAAGAGATCATTTCAATGGATGTATAAGAAATGTGATGATAGGAGGAGAAAGACGGGATTGGACAGACATGGATGAATTGCATAACATTCACTTGAGCTCCTGCCCAGTACAATGATAATCAGTACAATGTGTGAACTCCTCTGAGTCATTCAATTTAGTTCCAAAGACTGTTCAAAGGATGCACAATGAAATGAAAGGTTTCTATGAACGGTGTTCAAATGCGATTTCACACCAGGATCAAGTGCCATATCATGATGGGAAATTCTCTAATTGTTAAGACATAAGATTAAACGAAGCCAAAAGATGCTAACATGCAAATGCATGAAGTTTGTATCAATGTTTCTCAAACTTGTTTTTATTGTTATAAAGTTCTATGATAACAAATTCTTACAAAATGTTAATGAAAATTCTTTGTATTTTTATATGTATCTGATAACAAATTATATTTATATTAAAAATAAGTTGAGAAAAGATAAAGATACAATGAACATCATGTAAAAAAAAATAAGTTAATATTTGCAATTTGTACATAGAAAATCTTACATTAACCTATTTTAATTAAATTTTTTTGAAATAAATTTTTACTAAAAAAGAAAAGAATGAACAATTTTCTTAGTATGTATTAAGAAAATTCATCTAACATTACAACACTTAAAAAGTTAATGTTAAAACACTGATTAATTGCTTAAACATCTATCTTAAAATTAATTAACAAAAAGTCATATAATTTATTATTTTACTAAAACAAATCGATCAAAAATAATAGATCTTTTATCTATTCATTAATATATAAAATTTAAAGAAATTTATTATCAATTACCTCAAAACAATGATGTGTGAAGTAAAAATAATGTATTGCACTCGTATTGTCATTCCAATAGATATTTTAATAATAATATTCACAAACAATTTATTAAAATACAACGAATAAAAAATATTATCTTCCCGCGCACTTACACGAATCTTTGAACACTGACAACTTCATGAACAAGCACAACGTTCATCAAAATTCAACTTCGAAAATAAAAAGATATATAGAAAATTAACTTTATAAGAGAATCATAATTTACAAAATAAATTAAAATAATTTAAAATTAATTTAAATTCATTATAAAAATAAAAATTTTTATATAAATCTATAATTTATTATAATATCAAGATGTCAACGTATCACGTAGTAAAAATTTAAATTGTTATCTACTATTGGAATGTTTTTTATAACTACTCTAGTATTTTATAGAAATATTATAAAACACAGTTTGAGAAACGTTTCTTAAAGCATTAACAAATTATGGCACAAATTTAAATTGTATTATAGATTCAATATATAAAACAAACGCCACGATATACGTGTAAGTAGCAAAATCACTGCCATATAGTTTAATTGTAATTCATTTATAAGTCATGAAAGAATTGTACATCAGTATTTAAAGCTATTTATTATCATTAATGTAAGTGTAATCAACGATTTCGATTAAGAGCATAATAAAAAATATGAAATTGTACTCAATCGAAATCGTATATTTTTTAAGAAAAAAAAAAAAAAAAATAAACGAAATAAAATTATTTTGTACTATTTTAATGATAGTAAATAACATATTTTAATATTTAAGATAATTAATAGCGAAAGAAAAGTCATATATTGCGCCCTGTAATAAAGTGCCCTTAACAAATTAAATGTAGTATATATATATATAGGGAGAAATGTTCTTTACAAGAATATTTTAATATTTATGTCTAGTATTTTTCTTATTCGTTGAATTGTAATATATTATACATATGCAGAAAAATTAACAATGACGCCTTCGCTATTGTGTATAAAATATATAACAATGAGAAAGTATGGTCATCTAATTCACCCTCTTCTGTACTCCAAAAGTTATATATACATTTACATTATACAACCAATTAAGATAAAGAAGACACACTTATATATATATATGTATATGTATATATATAGTTCTATTTATATATATATATTATAATATATATCATTTATTAAAGAATAAAAGTCTATTGCAAAGTGGGTTATTAAATTTTATTGATGACATTCGCTGTAAGATGTTAACAGTAAAATATGACCCAAATTTTTACTTGACGTACTCAATAAATATATATCATTGAGTAATAATTTCATTTATGCATATATAAAAACATAATATTTACAGACATGGATAAATCGAACAAGTATGATTTGACAAAGTTTTCAGTTTTCATTTCTTTCATTTGTGACAATAAAAATGAAGGATTATTACATAAAGGTAATCATTTATTATTAGTAAGCGCGATTTTATATTATATTCCATTTTTTCGTATCTCTGTGTTCATTGTTTATCACGCCGGTTACCAACAGCTCACTAATAACATTTCTCTGCTTTGAAAAATATAAATATCAAGCATAAGCAATCTCCCTTCTTTACTACAGTTATACATCCTTTTTTCGTTCTCTTACTGTTTTTTTTTTTTGTAGCTTTTTCCCCATTATATTTTCAATCCCTTCTCCACAAGCCGATATTCTTTCATCGATTCTTAAAATTAGTGACTATTATATTGTTAATCATAAATCTTCATTCACTGTTCGTTCACATTGTTATCGTAGACTTTTTATCATGACTTAAACCTTCAAATCTTATAATTCATTTTATGGCATTTACTAATTTTCGCATTCAATATTGTCAAGTCGGACTATTTTCGGAGTCTGAAGCTCGCAAAAATTTCTCTATTTATCATTTTTTTACGATGATACACGCAATAGATTTACAATAGACGAGAATAGAATATAATGAACTCCTTGGATACTACAATCGACGGATTTTTTTCTTTTTAAAATTTTTTTTTGCATGTCCCTTACGTGAGACATATGCCTCGCATACAAGATCAAATAAAACAATATAGGGACGATTGAACCAAGTATCGTATCGTTGCGAATTAAAAATATATTTTTCGCGATCATTAATCGTGAAGAACATGAAATTCGATATGTTGCATAATTACTTAAGAATAATCAATACGATCATGTTGTGTTATGCCATTACAGATATAAGGGGGTCTATTATTCCTGTAAACCAATTTTTGTTTTTTTTTCTGGTTTTTCTTTCTTATAAATTTTTTCATTTCCATGCACATGGCCATTAAGCTAAAAAATATATTATAGAAATATCGAACAAACAATAAATCGATAAATGCTATAATATACATTAAATATTGAACATAATTTAAACAAAGAACACAAGAACAAATTCTATAATTTATAGACCCTCCGTATTTCTGTACAAAAATTGTATTTTACCTCTATCTAATTTCTATCCATTCGTCCTATCGGCGTATTACGAAAATCGAATTATATATATGTTAAAAAAATTGAATCGTCAAGATGGAAGGTCAGTGCCAGTCCCACACGAACAGCGGACAGTTTATAATTTATGGCACAATAAATAATTCTTTCGTTATTACATTATTATGCTAATTATCCATCATGTACAATGTGAAAACCGCATATTTAGTTTCGCTTAAAATTGGACTGACACGTTCCATTAGGAAATGAGAATAATATACTAGAAAATAAATGAAAAACAAAAAAAAAAAAAACGATTATTATCCAAAGAAAAAGAATCTATATACTGTTGACAAAACTCGTAAGGAGAATCATCAAACTTATGAACGGGTTAAACAATTAGTCCGTTTCATTAAAATTTGTAATAATACGCTAAGACGTTTATAAATAAATAATTAACACTCTTTCCAGAATCTCTTGTCTCGATCATGAGGAACGCAGACAGTGGATGATCAAATTTCAATTATAAATATTTAGGCCTAGAATGTTCAAATAAGTTATTTAATCAAAGCAAAAACTTTGAATATAGATGAAAATTTTTGTTTTTTTCGTACTTCTACATTCCATCTTCTGCTTTCCTCTTACAACCTTCAAAACAATTACAAAATCTCAAACTATTTGATACATTATAAGAATAAGTATGTGATTGCGCGCAGGAAAGAAAAAGAGCAATTCAATCAAAAATTTTACGCAATTCGCAGCTCTTTATATGTTCAGATATTTCCTACCAATTACCAAAATTATTACTGTTCTTTCAAGAAATGAACTTTTACTTTTGGTACTTTTACTTTCTCTACAATTTCATTCTCTTCTCTCTCAAATCCTTACAAGTTTATTTATAATCTTATACCAATACACACTTCACAAAAACTTGTTTCAAGATATTCATATCAACGAGGCATTATATAAATTATAATAGTAGCTACACTGTAAAGAAAAAACATCCTCGCACAACATCAATTACATCCAGATCGATCTTAAGGCTGATTTGGTATTTTTTTTTTTTTTTCACTAATCAGAATATATTTACAAATCCACATTATTTATTTATTTTTTTTTCATTTGTCCGTAAGTTGGTTTTTTCCAACATTTTTCAACGAATGAATTACATTATCTACGTATGTTGCTGCAACTGTCAACAGTTGCAAAAATCTGATGGTTAATGAGGAATCATTAATTTGGATTCGACGATGATATACACAATGAAAAGAAAGTTTTAAGACAGTTACAGTGGATCATACGAAACAATGTTAAACTTCGATTCATTTGATAAAAGTGGAAGAACTTACAGTTTTATGAATGAAATAGATTTTCATGCAAGACAAGCCTTTCACTTTATTTACTTTCTTCCTTACATCTTTAAATAAATTCTGTTAAATAGAAATTAATCATATACAAAAATCACATTGAAAAATTCGAATCCTTTTATAGACTCTGTCAAAAGTACATTTAAATTAATGATCCTCTATTTGTATTCAATAAAAGACATATAATAATAATAATAATAATAATAATAATAATAATAATAATAATTATAATAATAATAATAATAATAATAATAATAATAATAATAATAATAATAATAATAATAATA